GCGTTGAATTTTCGTCGATGTTAAGCCTAACAAAGACTATTGTATCGTTAAAAATTATTTTTTTATTTTGTACAAACAAAATAAATTTATTGAAAAATATAAAAATAATAAAAAATTATACTTCAGATGTTAATTTAGTATCAAAAACGTAAAATATTTGAGTAGCCCAAGAAATAGCCAAAGATTGCAGCGCCACAGCACTAGCAAAAATTTAAATTTGCCGACTGGAATGCTTTCGGATAACGGACGTTTTGGATAACCAGCTTTCGGATAAACGACACTCTACTGTATATGTATTTTTATTATTACATATGAATAAACTTAGTAAGAAAGTATATATTTTTTATTTTTGGGGTCTCCAGAACGAATTAATCAAATTCCCGTAGAAACCTATGGTAAATCGATAATCGGTTAACAAACAATTCGGATAGCGAACAAAATCTTGGAACAGATTATGTTCGTTAACCGATTACCCACTGAATTTGTAATATGTATTACACAAATGAAGTTATAATTAATGGGTTTTTGAATTGTGTTCATATCTGTTACTTCAAATGCATAGTGGAAGGGTCTGTATCTGCTTGAAAGTTGAGTTCTGGTGACATAACCATCACATAAGTTACTGGGGCAGAAATAAAATTTGACATAAGAGACATTTGAATTAACAAAGTTACAATTTATCAAGAGTCATCTACAGGGTGAGTCAAAATTAAAGTTAGAGCATTGGTTGCTACTGACGCTCTAACAGACCACAGTGTACCCGAAGAAGGCCTATTAAGAAAACCAAAAACATTCGTACTCGTGTATAAACGGCTAGAAATAAGTGAGGAAGGTTTTGTATTGATCATAGTAAGTATAGTATAAATATAAAGAATATAAATTAATTTTTTAGTATAAATTATGAATTTTTAAAGTTTACCTAGAACAGAAATGTTTTTGTTAATCTACATAATAATTTATATTTGAGACTCCAGTATTTTTCTTTTTTTTTATGTCATTTATATTTTTTTAATATAAATATCTTGTATCTTTTTATTTTTTTCAGTGAGCCCTACAGATAATTGATAATTTCTCTTTACAGTTTTGTGTTATTTTCTCATATTTTCCATTATGAGATCACATTTATATTTTTATCTTTTCTGAGAATGTTTCTCCTACTCTCTTTTTGTCATTATTTTTCACATGTTCTGGAATTTCATATTTGTCTGATTTCTCATTTTTTAGTCAACTTTTAATTTTAATTATGTAAATGTTTTTAGTGTCTTGATTTGCACAACTTTAATCTTGCTAAGAAATCTTTCAGAAGTTGCATTGGAAATATTAAAATTTTTGAGGAAACTATAATAAATGAATGGGAAAGACTTGGAAAGAAGCCAAACTAATGTCCATAAGAAGGAAAGCACCTGCTGAGCATCTTAGCAGGTTTAAGTTGTTTTTTTTTTTAATTATCATCATTAGGAAATGATATAATTAAGTAAATTGAAAGTTTAAAGATTAGTGTTTTAACTATAAAGATTAACTTAAGTTTAAAGATTAGTGTCTTTCATGTTGTTTTATTTTAACAATAAGATTGTTTTTAAAAAATTCTCTATTACTGATATACCAGTATTCTATTACAAAAAATTGTATATATTGTTGCCTATGTGTTGAGAGACAGCTGAATTGTTTTATACTGTTTGATTAGGAATATTGAACATTCTGAAAAAAAATTTTAAACAAATTTTATATTGTCTGTGTAGCAAAAGTTCTGAGTAGAAATTGCAATTTTCCTGAGCAGTAAAGGATGATAAATATCACTTAGTAACCATTTACTTAGAATTTAAATAAGATTTCTGTAGCAATTAATAAAAGATTCCATATTGTTAATTTTGTTTTTTTTTAAATAAACAGATTTTTCTTTAGTTTTAATTAAAATCAATTTGATACAGAAAACTTTCAAGATGAAAGAATACTCAAAATATTTGTTTGAAGAATTTGAATAAGCAAGTTTCTATTATCTGTTTAAAATAGAAACAGTTATATTTTAAATTTGTAATTACAGTATAAATAAAAAATGTTTTAGAGAACCAGTTTTCATTATGAGTTTCATTGATTTTAAGAACAAGAATTTAATTTTGAAGATGATGTGAATACTAGATTTCAGATTACTATCATTAATGTTAGAGTGCATTAATGCTTTGCTGATTTATTAACATTTGACAAAAAAATTGATAAACTGTTTCCAAATTTTTTCTGTTAATATTATGAATATTTATAATTTTTTATATATATTTTTGTACTAAATAACTGCTTGTAGGCCTAGTTGATAGCATTACAATTTTATCATACAGAAATTAATTTTTCTCCAGTTTTCTATCTTAAATCTTGTGTATTTATTGTCAAAAATAATTTATTCAAACTTTTTTGGTTTATTTGTCAAAAATTTTGAATAAATGTAATCTTGACATAAGACAAAATATAAATATCTAAAGATATATTAGAATTAATTTGAAATATTATACCAAAATATGTGTGTATGTTAGTAAAGTATGAAATTCATCAATAAATTTTTTCATTTAAATTTAAAGATATTTTTATCTGCATTTATTCATTACAAAATTCTTGTTTTTATAAAAATTTTGCAAATTGTCATTGTGCAAATAGTTATGCTGACTTTTAACACATTAACTGCTATATGAGTTGTATTTAAATCATGCTAGTTTTGAGCCCGGGTCTCATGAAGCATATATAACTCATCTCTTTCTTTACCATGGTGTGCAGGTTGCCATGCTATAACATGCATGTTACGTGATGGGTGCCCTTGAGCAAAATCCTGTAGTTGGTTTATGAAAATCTTATTTGCTGATGCTTTTATTGTAAATATTAATATTGACAATGTATTTCTAAAAAAGTGGATAAATTTTTACCTTTTTTTTTATTTATTTATTTTTACGTTTTAAATTACCCTTAAGGTGGTAAATTCAATAAGTTTATCATGAGTCACATACAGCTCGCATGGAGTGCGATATAAAAATTGATTCTAGTGCTGTGTGAGTTGCATAAAACTCACACACAGAAAACAATAACAAATAAATTTTTCATTAAATTAGAATTGTTTTGCTTTCAAAGTTTTTATTCCATTTTTGTAATAAAATGCTGTGGCCCTGAGGAATAATTTTCCTTCTAGTGTAGCACTCAATATGTACCAACTTAAGGTTGATTGACAAAAACATGATAAGTGGTAAGAGTAAGTTGATAGAATAATTTGTTTTTTAAAAAATTTATCATAATATCAAAAGCATTGGTCTGACTTATGTGAAGCAATGAGATTAAACAATTGATTTCAAATTTCAATTATCTTTTTTTGCAAAATTAACCTTTTTAAGTGTAAATATTCATTTTTATGTTATGTTCTTAGTAAAGTATGAATCTGCTCTATTAATAATAATACAGGTTGACCATCACCAATCTGGCAGTCAATAATCTGGTACTAATTTCCAAGAAATACATTCCAGATAAAAAATAAAATCAAATAACAACGTAGAAATGACACCAAATATTAATCCATAAATGTTTATAATCATAATACAATGCTAAATATCTATTTTCTCAAAAATTTTGCTAATTATTAAAATAAACAGATATAAAATAAATGACAGTTCTACCTAGAAATTCATATTAAAATTCTGTATTAGCATAGAAATAATAAAATGCATTTAGCTATACTGAAATAAAAATTATTACTGCAAACACATTTTAACTATCATGAACCTAAAATAGATTATTAAAGAAACCTATTTGATGTTTCTTCAGTTCATTTTGTTTTTATTTCCAGACTCTCAAAAATAATTGGGTATTTATTTATTTAAACACAAAGGGTAGTCAATTGAAAACATATTTAACTTGCTTAGAAGTAAAGAAGCATAATTAATTGATATTACTTTTAATCTGTTTCTTGTTTTTAATAACATCCATATCTTAAGCAGTTGTTATTAATTCAGTATTGCTATGATACTGAATTTATTTTAACGTGTTTTTTATTAAACATTTTATGATTGCATTTTATAATTTAAAATGAATATTATCTGCTTGATTTAAGATTTAGAGTGACTATTTATTTATTTTTAAGTGTAAGAATTAAATTGAATTCTATTTTTTTAGGGAGAAGGCAACAATGGATTTGATGTACTATATCATAATATGAAATATGGTTATGGAGCCAGTAAAGAGTTAGCTGACTTTTTTAGAGAAAGGTAATTTAAAAATGTCTTTTTTTATTTTAAATTGTACATGTAATTTTTAAAATCACCATATTATATAATATGTAATCACATTTTTTGAAATGTAATGATGATTTGTTGTTTTAATTGATTAAAATTTTTCACAAATAATTATAAATTACCTTAAATTTATATTGAATTTTCATTAATGAATATAATTTTTGTTATAAATCATAATACAGTAGAGCGTCGTTTATCCGAATCAATTGGGGACTGGAGTTGTTTGGATAACTTATTTTTCAGATAACTGATTACGTACGAAAAAAAATATTAACCTATCCCATGCTGAAATTTTTCTCCGTTGTGTGTCGCTTTGCGTTGAATTTTCGTCAATATTAAGTGTAATTTAAACTTTTTAAAATAATAATCGTGGCTATTGTATCGTTAAAAATTATTATTTTTATTTTTTACAAACAATATAAAAACAAAAAATTATACTTTAGAAGTTAATAGAGTATCAAAAACGTTCGATTCAGCATGACATACAGTCCTCAGAAAAACAGCACACATAAGTGCCAGTGCTGCCAGCTAAAACACATATACAAACAAAAAAATATTGGATTAGCCTAAGACATAGCCAAAGATTGCAGCTCCACAGCACTAGCGGAAATTTAAATTTGCTGACTAGAATGCTTTCGGATAAACGACGCTCTACTGTATTCAAATATCTACAGTACTAAGCATTAACCAATATACATGTATTCTTTGATTTTACATGATAAGTTCAAATACTTGTAATTCAAATAAAATTTGAATTAGATTCTAGATTGTTTTCTCATTTAATAATTGAGTATAAATATAATTATTTTTCTTTTCCATAAATGTGTGTGTAATGATTATAAAAAAAATTTATATTATGTATGATATTGATGATATTATATATGATATGTATGTATTATATTATACATACACTGAGTGGCCATTTATTGTGACCACGTACAAAGTTTATGCAAATCAGCTATAATGACACTTTATTGTCATCAGAGGATGAGATTGGTATAAAATGGGATTGCTGGATGATTGTACAGACAGTTGTAGGGAATTGCGTGTGAGGGTATGTGTAAAAGACATGATGTAACAGATTTTGAATGTGGAATGATTGTGGATACTAGAAGCAGCGGAGCAAGTATCAGCTAAACTGCTTTGCTTGTGAAGTGTTCAAGAGTGGCTGTTATTCATGTGTATAATGAGCGAACTACCAAACAAAAATGTGGTCTCAATGTAAGGCGTATGGTGGTCTTCAGCTGCTAGATACTCGAGATAAAAGGAGAGTAGCCAGACTTGTCCAGTCCAACAGAAGAGCAACAAAGTGTCAGATTACAGCTGATCTTAGCAGGGAACATCTCCAATGGCCTCTGAATGAACTGTTTGCAATACATTACATTGTATTAGGTATGGAAGCTAAAGACCTGTTCAAAAGTCTTTGTTGTCTGCAGCTAACAAGATCAAACAACTCCGATTCACACAGGGTCATGAAGATTGGACAATAAATGGCTGGAAAAGGGTAATGTGGTTTGATGAATCGCATTTTCAATTTCATCATGCAGATGGCAAAGTGCAAGTATGGAGAAAACAGATGAAAGCATGGACTCTATATACATTATCACATTTCAAGCTGGTGGAGGCAATGTTATGTTTTGGGGGATGTTTGGGGATCCTGGCATTGTTTGTGCCCTTTGCTTTGTGTGGGACAATGTCTGAATACCCAAAAGTATTTAAATATTGTTACTGACCAATACATCTGGTTATGTTGATAGTCTTCCCAGGGATGGGAAACCTTTTTCTATGTAAGGGCCACATTTAAAACTTTTGAATTGACTCGGGCCAAGAAAAAACACACAAGAAAAAAGAAAACAAAATCAGGTAAATCACAATTATTTATTCATATATGATTATAAATTAACATAAGAATACTTAATTTGACTTCTGTCACTGATGTGAACATAATATATATGAAGTATTTGGTTGAATATTAGTTACTGCTAATTTTAAATTAGTTTTAATGCAAGTCTGTTAGCTGATTTCTTGTTTTACTTATTACTAAGTTGTAGAAAATAACAGTAAAATTTTTTCTGCATACTTTGTTAAGTTTGGAAATTGATATACAGTGGGTGATCGGTTAACGAACAAATCGGATAACGAACACTTTCGCAAAAGATTTTTATGTTCGGACAACGAACACATGATCGGATAACGAACAGCCCACAGAACAAACATAAGAAGAAGTGTAAAATAATGAATACCGATTGGACTTTTCTTGTTTCTTCTGATTCTATGTCACGACTTGGTGCATTTATAGACACTTGGCAAATAATTCCATCACCTACATTTACTTCTTACAGAAACGCGTTTCGGGCTTTCGCCCCTCTTCAGTCTGTTACGTCGATAGTTGTGACTTGTGTGTCCGTACTTCCCGCTCCCTTCCCCTCCCCTCTTTTTTCCCGACTTGACGGACTCCCCCGCATGCCTCGTAATTTGTAACATTACCCTTCTCCGAGTGTTGCACACAGCCTCGCCTGCGACTGTATAAACATTCTATTTTATTTTAATAATTGAAGCCAGTTTTTATGGATGTCGATGCTAAGGTTCTTGTTAATATTATTTTTGTCT